GCGCCCCCCGCCGCCGTTAGTGGGGGGGGGGGGGAGGAGAAGCGAGGAGGGGCGACCCCTTCTTCTGCCCTGCACAGGACTCCCAGATAATCCCCCGACTTGCCCTGGGCCTCAGCCATAGGGCAATTGAGGAAGCCACTATAGGGGAACCAAAACACAGGGCCTGGGGTGGCCACCCAGAACCATCCTATGGATAGAGCCTTGCGTGGATACAAAAATCTGTATTCACATTCGTAGCCGCAAAAATGAGCCAGACCCCTTCTTCTGCCCTGCACAGGACTCCCAGATAATCCCCCGACTTGCCCTGGGCCTCAGCCATAGGGCAATTGAGGAAGCCACTATAGGGGAACCAAAACACAGGGCCTGGGGTGGCCACCCAGAACCATCCTATGGATAGAGCCTTGCGTGGATACAAAAATCTGTATTCACATTCGTAGCCGCAAAAATGAGCCATGGATATCTGCACCCATATCTGCGGAAGCAGATACATGCCGATATAAAGTAGATATCCAAAATTTGAAGGGTTCAAGATATAACATTTGTCTCCGCATCCATAACGGCAAGAACGAACTGTGGATATCCAAATCCAAGGATATGGATACTTGTGGATATAAAGCAGATATCCATGGATTTACAGGGCTCTTGCTATGGACAACACAGCTTCAGAGCTGTCAAGAAGAAGGAATCCTAGGCAAGTCACTCCGCTTCTCCCCCACATCTGGGAAATGGGGATAACACACCTAACCTCACAGAAATACCAAGGGTTTATGCTTCCCTTTTAAAATGCAACACGTCCTTGTCAGCTTTCATATCCATTCCAAACAAATGTATTTACACTCATGTCTCCCAATCTGCCAATCAAATTCTCTCTGTATTCTCTTCCCAGAGACTTCTAAATTACCTTATTCTAGATCAGGTCTAGAAGTTTGTTGAAAGAGAACTTTTGTATTTTAGGAACACAGGAAATCTGGGGGTTTATTGAATTTATAGCACGTTACACAGTAATATTTCTGAAAGTCTCAAGGCTAAGAGGTAGACTATAAATGTTCAATTAAAGAGACGTTCATAACATTTTAAAAAGGGAAGTTTATAGTTCTTTAACAGGAATGCTGTTTTTAAAGAAGTTTAGGCGAATCACTTGCAGCTTCAGTTCCTGAGGAACGAAAGGACAAGTTTCCTGTTTCCTCTGCCAAAGCATGTAACAAAATAAGCAACAGACATTGCATGGTGAATAAGCTATCCCGTAGCTCTTTGTATGCTTCTCGGAGGTTTTCTTTTTTGACTATCCCAATTCAAACATTTCAGCTTGATCAGTTAAGCCATTTTTTTATATGTAACAAAACATATGTCCCTTTTCAAAACAAAAAGATATACAAACTTAATCTGGACAAAAATCAAAAAAAGGGAAGAGCAGCTGAATGCAGTGTCATGAACTCTATTTGCTCCTAAATCCAACAGCAAATGTGTGTTTTAGAGTCACTTGAAAAAATCTTTTTTTTTTCTGATGCTATATAAAAGTCCCATACTAATTATGGGACATGACTATCCAGGAAGCAACAGCACAACTGTACACCGAGTGCTGTCACAAGCATAATGCAAACAAGTCTATAGCCCCAGCGTTACAATCATGCAAGAAGCTGTTTGAAATGACAATAGGTAACAGAAGTTCAGAAAGATGGGTGTTTTTTTAAGTAGCTTTTTCACTTCAAACTCCTATTTTTTAGTTCATCTAACAAGAACATAGAGCCAACTAAAGGAATCAGATGCAATGCCACTTAAGCCAAATGGGAAAACACTGATTAACACCAGTAAAGAACCTGGCTCTGTTTTTAAGCTTCTAAAGTAGCCACAAACAAGGGCCTTCCATAGGTGTGGAAATGCACATATAATCATGGCTGAAAACTACACACACACACAAAATTGGGATGTAAAAAACATCTACAATAGTTAATCAGTTAAACTATTTGTTTTAATAGGTTAACCACCGGCCCTACCTCACCCACAGGCTCAACCCTGCCCAGGAGCTGTGGGTGGCTGCTTTAGGCAGGAAGGCTGCTCCCATCAGCAAGGCCCTCAAGTTAACCAGTAAAGCTAATGCTGACCAGGTAACTGGTTACCCTTGTACACCACTAGAATATATACTGCTTCCATTTAATTTATTTTAATATTTGCATGTGAATTCAATGAAGACAAGAGATACTCAATGGACACTTTATATATTTATAGAACAGATGGTGCTCAGTCTAATCTGCAAGCTTCCACATATACCATAATGAATATACTTTTATAGATTACACTTCAAACTTGACTTGGAGGAGGCCCTTTCTAAATGGGAGAGAAGAGGGACCCCACAGAAACCATCAATTCTACTGGTGTGCTATGATGATGTGTTATGTGTTTGTGTCCAGTCGAGCAAAACATTAACTGAAAACTCATCCACTCACAGTCCATAAGTCACCAAACAGCCATTACATTAATTTCTGAACATCAATTTAGCAGAGAAGGGCTCTATATCCCATCTATTAGCCGTTTAACCCCCCATCTTTCTGCTGGGTTTCTCAATGCAAGTAGAGATGTCAGTTTCTTATTCAACTCTGATGCTCTTCTGCTAATGGAGGGAAATTGTGAGAGTCAAGAAAAACCCATCTCGACACCCTCCCTGCATATACATACACACTCCATCCTCATAGTGTGAGTAACCCAGGCATGCTCCAGACCCTCTGCAAGGCTCACCTGAAGTAGCTCCACAAAAATCAGCATTTCCTCCTCCTCAGGCACTTTACTGTCACCCAGCACACTCGACAGGGTCCATTTCAGGGGCTTTAGAATGAAGACTCCCACACCCCATGAGATCCAGCTGCTGTCTACACTGGCTATGAAGTCTGACTCCCTCTGCAGTTTGCCACGTCTGAAGAAAGTAAGACATACAAAAATTAGAGATGGACATGGCAACCCAGGCCCCAGTGTGCAGATGTAATCATCAGTGCATGTAGAGATTTCTGTGAAGAATCATCTTTAGCAAGTAATATTTCCTCAGTACCGAACACATAGTTGGTCCACAATTCCAGTAGATTTGACAAGATTTTCTAGTCTGACATTTAAATTTAAAATAAAGTTATGTACAATATATAAATACTCAACGTTTATGTACTTCGTGCATATGACAATTTGTACATGATGGTTTACGATAAAAATCTTCATTTTAATCAGTTTTTTGGGGGGGATCTTCATTTTAGTCTGTTTTCTGGGGGTGTACGTGTGTGTGTGTGTTTTCAAGAGACTTTCTCGTCCTAAACATCCTCTTGCAACTTTACTGATTTTACAAATATTTTCCTGTGTTGTTCCCTCATTTTATAATGTGATAAGCTTCAAACAAAAGAAAAAAAAATGGATATAATGAAGCTCCTACAGTGATTGTGCATTTGAAGGACATGTTCCATAAAGTACATAAACTGGAAGCTGTACAAAACCAGACTGTACATAAACTGATTTTGTACAGACATGATCATTTTGTGTTACACCAATTACACTGGTAGATAAAAGATTTTCAGATTGGCATAAAACATGTAGATTGTTAAGTGGTTTTTTTTTGGGGCGGGGGGGGTTGCAATCACAACACTGTTGCTCCTACGTTGAATAGATACAACAAAAAGGCACTTTCATGAAATGCAGTCCTCCCAATGTCCCTTAGCATACTGTTTTCTATGCCCAACCGACTCCGTCTGCCTCATGCCCTCTTTATGAGCCTTCCCTGCTACCCACTTGTGTCAAGCATCCAACCTTCCCAGTGAACCTTAGCATACCGCTCACTATCACCCTTTCAGCTCAGTGCCCCACTGAGCCATGCTCATCAGTCCCCCTTGTGCACAGTACTCCTACCATATTTCCCAGCATAATAGTCCATGCTCCCAAACATTCCCAAGCCCAGCACACCTTAGTGATCCCTGGCATATCCCTTGGGTGCAAACCCCTCCCCCCCCAGCATTTCCTTGCACCCAAGGACCCCAGCATATCAGGTACCCTAGTGCTCCATGTTCCTTGCCTCCTTGAACTCCAAACTCATCAGTAGCCCCCAGGATGTTGCTCTTGCTACAAATGCATGCCCCCTGCACTCCTATGATGTGCATGTCCAGTGTATACTGTCCCCTCCAAACCCCGCCACATGCTGCCCCTTCAGTGACCCCCAGCACACTGCTCCTAGCCCCCTGCCTTGTAACCTGCACCCAGTGACCCCCAGCACACAGCTGCTAGCCTCCTGCCCTGCAGCCAGTAACCCCCGGCGCAGTGTTCCTACCCCTGCCCCACCCTATGCCCCGCACCCAGGGACCCCCAGCACATTGCTTCTAGCCCCCTGCCCCATACCCTGCACCCAGGGACCCCCAATCACCACCAGTGACCCCCCCAGCAGACT